TCTGAATAAGTTTCCAACTGGCAAATTAGGCTGATTATTGATTTCGATGATTTCAACGTCTTCAAAAAGGTTCAATGGTTGGACAGAAAGATAGTTACCGCCCAAAAACGCCACAAAATTCCTCTTCTTTTCTGGAAATTTCCATTCCCAAGCGGCCAAAATCGATAGCTCTGGTTGTGGAGTCGTCATATTTCTTCCGAATTCTGATTCCAATAATTTGTAGTCGTCCTCCAAAATTTGGAAATTAATTCCAAATGTTTTGAATTTCGCTCCAATGAGAATGCTCTGAAAATATGAAAATATGAGAAATTTTGGATTTTTCAAGCATTTCAAAAATTCTAATTTGTATCGTTTTTGAAATTCCCGAATTTTTGAAATTCCGAATTTTCAGGAACTTTTCAATATCTTGAAAATTTTCACTTTTCGGAAAATTTTGATTTTTCACAAATTTTCGAATTTTCGAATTTTACAGATTTTCGAATTTCAGAATTTTTAAATTTTCGAATTCTCGAAAATCCCTGGGTCCCTGGATCCCTGGATCCCTGGGTCCCTGGGTCCCTGGATCCATGGGTATCTGGATCCATGGATCCTTAAATCCCTGGATCCCTGGATCTCTGGGTCCCTGGGTCCCTGGATCCATGGGTATCTGGATCCATGGATCCTTAAATCCCTGGATCCCTGGATCTCTGGGTCGCTGGGTCCCTGGGTACCTGGGTATCTGGGTCCCTGGGTCCCTGGGTACCTGGGTATCTGGGTCCCTAACATCTGAATTTCTGAAAACTCACATTTCTCAAATCCACCATATCCTGATTCGAAATTCTAGGAATATTAATTGAAAAACTTTCGAAATTCAAATATTTTTCCAATTTCCAAGGGACCACAAATCTTCGAAAATCCACATTTTTCGCCATTTTCCATTGCTCAGATTCCATTATTTCCTCCATTTTTTCCAGAAATTCTTCTGATTTTTTGGCATTTTCAATTGAAATCCTTTCCAAATTTTCTGGATTCACGAATGGCAAAATTGCCAATACCCCTTGATTTCCAAAAGTTTGAATTTGCAATTTTCGGATTTTTATTCCTCGATTTTTTCGGAAAATTTTCTCCAGCTCCAAGTACAGTAATCCGGCTTCCTCTTCACAATTTTCTTGAACATTCAATTCGAATTTTCGAAAGATTACTGTAGTTCTTTGAAGGTCCATTAAAATTTGAAAATCCTTTAAAAAAGTTGGCAAGAATTTTTGGTCCTTCAAAATTTTGGTTTTTGGCTTCTGAACATTAAACAAAATCCGCGGATCCAAATCCTCCTTTTTCCAAATTATTTGACATCCATTTTCGAGATTACTGTAGCTCAAATTCAAATTCTTGTAAGTTTCTCGAACATTCCATCCCATTTTCATCGTTTTTGTACTTCTCGGATCTGCTGGCCATGATAATTTGTAATCGATTGACTCTTTTTTCAAATCAATTTGAATTTGTAGTTCGGATTTTCCGGGTTTGTAGTCTTCGATCAGGTTACGGTAGTCGATGCACGTTTTGTGGAGGGATAGGCTGAAAATTGCACCGAAAATGCGATTAGGCATTAAGATGCGTCAAAGCACTGAATAGGCAACAAAGCACTAGAAATGCGCCAAGAGACAAAAAATGCGTCAAGACACAGGAAATGCGCCAAGAGACCAAAAATGAGTCGTCGCACCAAAAATGCGTCAAGCCAATCAAAAAAGCGTCGACGAACTAGAAACGCGTCAAGTCAAGGTTCAAAAAATGCGCCAAAACACCAAAAAGAGTCAACTCACTCGAATTGTGTCAAGTCACGGAAAGCGCGTCAAGGCTCGAGAAACGCGTTCAAACACGGAAAATGCGCAAAGCCACCAAAAATGCGTTAAGTCACCTAAAATGCGCCAAGGCTCTCAAATCGCGTCAAAACACTCAAACTGCACCAAGGCACCCAAAATGCGTCAAAGCGCAAGAAATACGTCAAAGCACCAAAAAAGCGTCGAGGAACTAGGAACGCGTCAAGGCTCGAGAAATGCGCCAAAACACCAAAATCCGAAAAGGCGTCGGAGGATGTCACTGAAAATGCGTGATGGGATCGAATTTGCGGTGACGAGGCATCCAAAATGCGCCAAGTCACCAAAAATGCGCAAAGGGACTAGAAACGCGCCAAAGGTCGAGAAAAGGCACTAAAGTTGCGTCAAGATCCGACTGCGTCAAGGTGCTGAAAACGCTGTATCACACCAGAAATGCGCCAAGAGACGAAATTTGCATCAAGCCAATCAACTTGCACCAAGGCACCAAGTATGCGTCAAAACACTAGAATTGCGTCAAATCATCAGAAACGCGCATAGTCACCCAAACTGCGTCAAAGCACCAAATACGAGTCAAGCACTAGAATTGCGTCAAAGCATTAAAATTGCGTCGACTCACTGGAAAAGCGTAAAGGCGCTCAAATTGCGCAAAGTGACTAGAAATGCGTCAAGGCACTCAAATTGCGCCAAGTCACTGAAAATGCGTCAATGGCCTCAAATCGCGTCAAGGAATTTAAATTGCGTCAAGGCACGTATAGTGTACTAGAAATGCGTCTAGGGAACGAATTCGAAACAAATCACTGAAAATGAAGGCACCGGAAACGCGTCAACGCATTAAAAACGCGCAAAAGAACTAGAACCGCACCAAGGGTCTAGAAATGGGTCAAGAAACTAGAAATACCTCAAGGCACTGGAAATGCGTCAAGCAACCTAAACTATCCCAAAGAACCGAAAAGGCGTCAAGTGACTCAAATTGCGTCAAGGAAGTCACCGAAAATGCTCTAGGGCACTCAAGTTGCGCAAAGTCACCAAATATGCGGCGACACACGAAAAACGTGTCAATGCACTGAAAAGGCGCTAAAGCAATAGAAATGCACCAAGAGACGAAATTTCGCGGAAAGGCACTGAAAATGCGCCAAGGAACTAGAACCGCCTCAAGTCACTGAAACTGCGTTAAGTCACTGGAAAAGCGTCAAGTCACTGGAAAAGCGTCAAGGCACAGAAAACGCGCCAAGGCACACAAATTGCGCCAAGTCACTAAAAATGCACCAAGAAAAATACAAATCGACTTACATGGCGGGAAAATCCAATTTGTCCAAAATCAGTTTTTGTGGAACTTCTGGGATTTCAGTCAGAGAATTTACCATTTTTCTGGAAAAGTTTTTTTAAAAATGTTTTAAGAAAAAAAAAACAAAAACAAATCTGAAAAAAAGTCTGAAATTGGCAAATTGTCAGCCTGAAAAATTCTGAAAACGCTGAAAAAAAAGATCAATTTTATAATAAAAATTTTACGAAAATTTCCGAAAAATTATGATTTTTAGACGATGATTCTCCTCTATTTGCCTTTTTTCGTCATCCAAAACGTCTCTTTTCGAAATGATAAGAAAAAATTTTTATCAGTCTGCTGACTCACAGAAATAGAAAAATCACAAAAAGCACAAAACCGAAAAACATTAAAATTCAAAAATTCAGAAATTTAGAAATTCAGAAATTCAGAAATTCAGAAATTTTAGAATTTTTAAAATTTTAGAATTTCATCATTTTTTGAATTTGTGAATTTGTGAATTTCTGAATTTCCGAATTTCTGAATTTCTGAATTTCTTCTGAATTTCTGAATTTCTGAATTTCTGAATTTCTGAATTTCTGAATTTCTGAATTTCTGAATTTCTGAATTTCTGAATTTCAGCATTTTTTGAATTTCTGAATTTCTGAATTTCTGAATTTCTGAATTTCAGCATTTTTTGAATTTCTGAATTTCTGAATTTCTGAATTTCTGAATTTCTGAATTTCTGAATTTCTGAATTTCTGAATTTCTGAATTTCTGAATTTCTGAATTTCTGAATTTCTGAATTTCTGAATTTCTGAATTTCTGAATTTCTGAATTTCTGAATTTCTGAATTTCTGAATTTCTGAATTTCTGAATTTCTGAATTTCTGAATTTCTGAATTTCTGAATTTCTGAATTTCTGAATTTCTGAATTTCTGAATTTCTGAATTTCTGAATTTCTGAATTTCTGAATTTCTGAATTTCAGCATTTTTTGAATTTCTGAATTTCTGAATTTCTGAATTTCTGAATTTCTGAATTTCTGAATTTCTGAATTTCTGAATTTCAGCATTTTTTGAATTTCTGAATTTCTGAATTTCTGAATTTCTGAATTTCTGAATTTTTGAAATTCTGAACTTTCATATCTTCTAAAAATAAATCAAAACTTTATTCCGGAATTTTGAAACATTTCAAGAAAAGAATGCTTGAATAAATTGGATCCAATTGCTCGTGATTCGCATCTTCCAGTGGATAATGTCCGATTTTCAGCAGAATTTGATCGTCTTTAATTGGAAAATACCAATTTTCAGAATCCGCAGAATCCTCAGGCCGGTTTTCTGGAAATCCAAAAACTCGGAGAAGCGTTGTGACGTCCATATGAATGTAATTGATTTCGAAACAGTTGAGGCGGGAATTTTCATTGAAAAATGCCTGCAAAAATGACTTCAAATGTGTTGTTTTGGAAATTTCAAAACAATTTGAAATTTTTGATTTTTTGAAATTTTAAATTTTTTTGAAATCTAGTCGTGTTTAGGCTCATTTTCAAGCTCTAGACCTGCTGAATTCAAAAACCAATTTTTCATAAATCTAGCCCCAGAACTGACAAAGTTACATTGCTCAATGCGCACGGGGGCTAGAGACGCAGTGTGTCTCGTTTCTCTGCGTCTCTAGCCTCCAAAACTCGAAATTGAACGAATTTTGTGGATTTCGAGCTGATTTTGAAGCTGTTGAAATGAGAAATTTAAAAATTCTAGTTGTCAGAAGTTGTTACTCCAATTTTAAAATAAATTCTAAAAAAATCGAAAATCTGAAAATTTCAAAAATCCAAACATTTTGAATAATTGTCGTGTTTGGGCTCATTTTAAAGGTTCAAACTTACAAAATTTTTCATTTTTCATTTTTCAAATCGTATAGAAAGCCGTTCCAAAACTAGTCATGCTAACGAAAGTTTAAAATGAACAAGATTGTAGCTTCAAAATGAGCCCAAACACCTATTTTTCAAAAATTCCGATTTTTCGAAAATCGATCATAAATCGATCGGTTCTCATGGAAAGTTTAAAATTACACAATTTTCACATATAAAAATCAAAGCGCTTCAAAATGAGCCCAAACACGACCCATATTCGAAAAATTTTGAAAAATCTGAAATTTTCAGATTTTCAGAAAATTCTGAAACAGGCCGTGTTTGGGCTCATTTTGAAGCTCAAATTTTTCTACTTTTAAAAATACAGTTTTCACAAACCTAGCTCTAGAACTGACAAAGTTATGCTGACCAATGCGCGCGGGGCTAGAGACGCAGTGTGTCTTGTTTCTCTGCGTCTCTAGTCCCTCAAACATTTCCAAAACTTGTCGTGTTTGGGCTCATTTTAAAGCTTGCATCCTACTGATATGAAATTGAGCATTTCCAGCTAGAATTGAAAATCCAAAAATCTCAAAAAACCAAAATTTCAGACTGTCGCTTCGAAAAGTTTGCCACCAAATGCGAGACCTCCTGGACCAGATGGATTTCGATTTTGGGATCGATCAATTTCTCATGGAAAATAAAGTCACACGTTTTTCAAATATAACAATTGAAAAACTTCAAAATGAGCCCAAACACGACCCATATTCAAAAAAATTTGAAAAATCTGAAAATCTGAAAATTTCAGATTTTTCGAAAATTTCGAAAATTTTCCAAAATTGGTCGTATTTGGGCTTATTTTAAATCTCTTTACCTGCTAAACTTGAATATTCTAGTTTCAGCCCCAAATTTGCAGATCCGTACCTCTTTTATCTCCCTTAGTTCATCCTCTACCACAGTTGCAATCGATATTTCAACCAATTCAAAGTGTTCGAAATCCTTGATTTTTGGCGGAAAAATCAGCCCTTGAATTCTCAAATTTTCCGCATTTTTCCATTGATCCAATTCTGTGATTTTATCGATTTTTATCGATTGAATAGCCTCCAAATGCTCCGGATGTCGGGGGTACTCCAGAACAATGTCCAGCGTTTCCAGAAAGTTTGAATGAATGAATGGAAGGATTTGTAGGACTTGGTGTTGCGAGTGAGCCACGAAATTCAACGTTCCCACTTTCAGATAAATATTTTCAGACTTTAGATATCTTTCGAAATTGTTATAAAATCTTAAAGTGTTAATGGGACAGGAATAGAAACCATTAAATTGGTTGTCCGGGATAGTTTGGATTTTTAGAAGATTTAAATTTTTTACAAATTTCAAAATAATCCTCAAATCTCCAAAAAACAAGGAATCATAGTCTCGATTATGGGCATCAATTTTTGATAAATGTTTAGATTCCAAAATTTCAAATGTTCGGATCCCATCCAAAATTATACATGGTTCCGATTCGGCAGGTTTCCACTGATAAGTGATAAGAAAGTTTTCGGGACCTGTAGAAATTTCTAGATCCGTTTCATATAATTTTCGAGAAATTTGAATTTGATCGATCCCAAAATCGAAATCCATCTGGTCCAGAAGGTCTCGCATTTGGTGGCAAACTTTTCGAAGCGACAGTCTGAAATTTTTTTTTGGTTTTTTGAGATTTTTGGATTTTCAATTCTAGCATAAAATGCTCAATTTCAATTCAGTAGGGTGCAAGCTTTGAAATGAGCCCAAACACGACGAGTTTTGGAAATGTTTGAGGGACTAGAGACGCAGAGAAACGAGACACACTGCGTCTCTAGCCCCCGCGCGCATTGGTCAGCATAACTTTGTCAGTTCTAGAGCTAGGTTTGTGAAAACTGTATTTTTGAAATTAGAAAAATTTGAGCTTCAAAATGAGCCCAAACACGGCCTGTTTCAGAATTTTCTGAAAATCTGAAAATTTCAGATTTTTCAAAATTTTTCGAATATGGGTCGTGTTTGGGCTCATTTTGAAGCGTTTTGATTTTTATATGTGAAAATTGTGTAATTTTAAACTTTCCATGAGAACCGATCGATTTATGATCGATTTTCGAAAAGTCAGAATTTTTGAAAAATAGGTGTTTGGGCTCATTTTGAAGCTACAATCTTGTTCACTTTTGTTAGCATGACTAGTTTTAAAGCGGCTTTCTATACGATTTGCAAAATGAAAAATGAAAAATTTGTAGATTTAAAGGTTTAAAATGAGCCCAAACACGACAATTATTCAAATTTTTTGAAAATTTTGAAAAAATCAGATTTTCGATTTTTGATTAAAATTTAACAAAATTGCTTTAATATCTTCTGACAACTAGAATTCTTGAATTTCTCATTTTAACATCTTCAAAATGAGCCCAAAATCAACAAAATTCGTTCAATTTCGAGTATCGGAAGCTAGAGACGCAGAGAAACAAGACACACTGCGTCTCTAGCCCCCGTGCGCATTGAGCACTGTAACTTTGTCAGTTCTAGAGCTAGGTTTATGAAAATTTAATTTTTGAACTGAGCAGATCTAGAGCTTGAAAATGAGCCGAAACACGACTAGATTTTAACAATTTTTGAATTTTTGAAAAATTTTGAAAAATCTGAAAATTTCAGATTTTCTAAAAAATTCGAAAATGGGTCGTGTATGGGCTCAATTTGAAGCTTGAAAAATTGTTAAATCAAATTTTAAAACTGTTGCACATTTCTTGACTCACATTCTCCTCAAATCTGCATCTTTCAAGATGATTTTCAGCACTTCTTCCGGCATATCAGGTAGGTTGGGCATTTCTGGAAATTTCTCGAAAAAAAAAAGAAAATTAAAAAAGCAAAAGAAAACATTTTAGGTATAGAGAGAAAGTAGCAAAAACTTTTTTCGAAAATTTAAAAAATGCAAAAAACGGTTTATTGATTTATTGATTGGGAGCCGGTACAACAGAGCTATGGACTTTTGAAAAAGTTATTGATTGAAATACATTATACTTAATATGTAGATAATTTTCCGATTCTGGATACTGAAAATACCAAGCCTGTGCCTTCAGCGATGCTATAACTGGATTTCCCAAAAAATCAGGATGATAGAGGCTCACATCGATTTGACATTGATTGATTTGGACTATGAATTTTTCTAGCGACGGATTTGCCAAGAATATCTGAAAATAGGTAATGAAAAAATAAAATATCTCAATTTTCAAACTTCAAATCGAGCACGACCATTTTTGGATAAATTTCGAAATTTCGAAATTTTTAGATTATTCAGATTTTTTCAAAACTTGTCGTGTTTAGGCTCATTTTGAAGTTTAATTTTTCGTATTCTTAAAAATACACTGTTCACAAATACATATCATTATCATTACTAATAACAATCACCAAATTCCATATTTTCAGGTTTTTCAAAATTTTTCAAAAATTCAAAAATTGTTAAAATCTAGTCGTGTTTCGGCTCATTTTCAAGCTCTTAATCTGCTCAATTCAAAAATTAAATTTTCATAAACCTAGCTCTGAAACTTACAAAGTTAGAGGGTCCGATGCGCAGGCGGACTAGAGACGCAGTGTGTCTTGTTTCTCTACGTCTCTAGCTTCCAAAACTCGAAATTGAACGAATTTTGTTGATTTTGGGCTCATTTTGAAGATGTTAAAATGAGAAATTCGAGAATTCTAGTTGTCAGAAGTTATTAAAGCAATTTTGTTAAATTTTTATCAAAAATCGAAAATCTGATTTTTTCAAAATTTTCAAAAAATTTGAATAATTGTCGTGTTTGGGCTCATTTCAAAGGTTCAAACCTACAAATTTTGAATTTTTCATTTTTCAAATTTTATAGACAATCGTTTCAAAACTGGTCATGCTAACGAAAGTTTAAAATGAACAAGATTGTAGCTTCAAAATGAGCCCAAACACCTATTTTTTCAAAAATTCTGACTTTTCGAAAATCGATCATAAATCGATCGGTTCTCATGGAAAGTTAAAAATTACACAATTTTCACATATAAAAATCAAAGCGCTTCAAAATGAGCCCAAACACGACCCATATTCGAAAAATTTTGAAAAATCTGAAATTTTCAGATTTTCAGAAAATTCTGAAACAGGCCGTGTTTGGGCTCATTTTGAAGCTCAAATTTTTCCACTTTTAAAAATACAGTTTTCACAAACCCAGCTCTAGAACTGACAAAGTTATGCTGACCAATGCGCGCGGGGGCTAGAGACGCAGTCTGTCTCGTTTCTCTGCGTCTATAGTCCCTCAAACATTTCCAAAACTCGTCGTGTTTGGGCTCATTTTAAAGCTTGCATCCTACTGATATGAAATTGAGCATTGAAAAGCTTCAAAATGAGCACAAACACGCCCCATATTCGAAAATTTCAAAACAAAAAAAAAACTTTAAAACTCACATTTTTCAAAAAGACTACATCTTCAGAGCTCATACTTTCTACAGTAATCTTTCCCTTTTTGAAATGAGCAATGTTGAAATTTTGAATTGGAGTAAGAATTCGATATTTCTCAATTTCCAGATTTTCAGCCAACATCCATTGCTCCATTTTTGAGACGTTTCTTAATTCCAGCGTTCTTGGATAGCTTCGACGGTCCGGATACGGTACTGTCAAAATGCCGTTTCTCGAAACTTTCTCATTTCGAAAATCGCAAAAATATTCAATATCGATTTTTTTCAAAAATCCTGGCTCCAGAAACTCCAGAACTGTGCGTAAATCGCCTTCCTGTACGCATCGTAAAGACAATTCTCGGATTTTGAGAGGTCTCAGTTTTTTCAGAACATTTTGGAATTTGTCTAAAAATTCCAAATTCGACTTCTCCACCAAATCATAATCGATCGGAGTTTCGGAATCATCGATTTCGAAAACCATTGGGGATGGGAAAAAATTCAAATTCGAAAAGTCGAGTCGCAGAGATTCGATTTCAGATTTTTGAAATCTGAAAAATGTTGATCTTATTGAGAGCTTCAAAATGAGCCCAAACACGATCAATTTTGGAAGTTTTTGAAAATTTTTTGAAAAATATGCAATTTTCAGATTTTTAGAAAAAATTCTGAAACAGGCCGTGTTTAGGCTCATTTTGAAGCTCTGTTTCTCCTGATCTCAAAAATATATTTTTTACAAACCTAGCTCTAAAACTAACAAAGTTACACTGCTCAATGCGAAACACGACCATTTTTCGAAAAATTTGAAAATTTGAAATTTTTTTGAAATTTTGAAATTTTTTGAAATCAAGTCGTGTTTAGGCTCATTTTCAAGCTCCAGACTTACTGAATTCAAAAACTAAAATTTCATGAATTTAGCGCTAAAACTAACAAAGTTACACTGCTCAATGCGCGCGCGCGGGGCTAGAGACGCAGTGTGTCTCGTTTCTCTGCGTCTCTAGCCTTCGCGCCTTATGACTTCGTTAGTTTTAATTCTTGCTTGATGAACATTTTTCTGTTAAATTCAGCAGAGTAAGAGCATCAAAATAAGCCCAAAATTTTTTTTTTAATTACCGCAACATTTTTTTCAGGTCTTCAAAAAATCGATATCTTGAATTTTGATTTATCGATTTTATATAAGTTGGCCCATGTGTTTTGACAATACAAGTGTTCGAACCAGTTGATTTGTAATTCAAACTTTTGCGATCCCCATTTTGAGTTGAAATTAAAAATTGGATATTTTCCGGATCTGACAAATAAATCAATATCGATTTTATTTTTGGATCCGGTTTGATTATCGAAATACTTCGACGAATTCCAGATGAGACTTTTTCAAGAATCGCGCTGAAAAATATAGAAGTGCAAGAAATAGAGATTCTGAGGAAAAAATGGACAAAAAATTGAGTTTTGGAAATTTCGAAAATTTCAGATTTTCGATTTTTTAGAATTTCTTTCTAAAATTGGAATAGTAACTTCTGACAATTAGCATTTTCGAATTTCTCATTTTAATAGCTTCAAAACGAGCCCAAAAGCAACAAAATTGTCAGAAAACACTATTACCATCTCTAGCAGCGGAGACTCCAATGTGGTGGAATTCTCTCTACCCCCCCGCGCGCATTGAGCAGTGTATCTTTGTCAGTTTTAGAGCTAGGTTTATGAAGAATTGGTTTTTGAATTCAGCAGACCTAGAGCTTCAAAACGAGCTTAAACACGACCAATTTTGAAAAATTTTGAAAACTTCGATTTTTTGAAATTTTTAATTTTCTAAAATCTAGTTGTGTTTAAGCTCGTTTTGAAGCTCTAGATTTGCTCAATTCAGAAATATATTTTTCATTGAGCTAGCTCGAAAACTCAGAAAGATACGGTTACTAATGCGCGCGGGGGGCTAGAGACGCAGTGTTTCTCTGCGTCTCTAGTCTCCAAAACTCGAAATTAAACGAATTTGATTGATTTTGGGCTTATTTTGAAGTTGTTAAAATGCGAAATTCGAATATTCTAGTTGTCAGAAGTTATTAAAGCAATTTTGAAAGAAATTCTGAAAAATCGAACATTTCAAAAACTCCAACAATATGTTTTTTTCAGATTTTTTCAAAATTTTCACTCACATTTCAAACAATTGCTGGTTCTTTAAAACACGTTCTAAAATTATATGATTTTCAAAAATTTCCCGCGGAATGTTGCTATCAGAAGGGACCAAACATAAGGATTTTAGATGCTGAAATTCAATTTTTACAAAATTTTAAATTTCAAATCTTTCTAACCTCTGGTAAATTTCGAATTAAATTCAGGCATTCCAAATTTTCACAGATTGATAATTCTTCCAAATCCCCCTCCAAACTTGAAATTTCAGATTCCAAATCTTTTTGGAATCGAGAAAAATAATGAAAACCATCTTCAAATGAATAAATTAACAAGTCTCCATTAGAATTTGAAATTTCCATTCTGTGACCTTCTTCGAATTGATCGGTTTCTGGTTTCGGGGGACCGAAAGTTTTTGTTAGAGATAATTGGTCAATTATCTTAGCTTTAATTACAATTGATTCGAAGTAGGAGCAATTGGAGAATGCCTGAAAAAAATTAGAAATTCGGAAATTCAGAAATCAGGAAACTAGGGACCCAGGGACCCAGGAACCCAGGGACCCAGGGACCCAGGGACCCAGGGACCCAGGGACCCAGGGACCCAGGGACCCAGGGACCCTGGGACCCAGGGACCCAGGGACCCTGGGACCCAGGGACCCAGGGACCCAGGGACCCAGGGACCCAGGGACCCAGGGACCCTGGGATTTAGGAATCCAGGGACCCAGGGACACAGGGACCCAGGGACCCAGGGATTTAGGAATCCAGGGATTTAGGAATCCAGGGACCCAGGGACCCAGGGACCCAGGGACCCAGGGACCCAGGGACCCAGGGACCCAGGGACCCAGGGACCCAGGGACCCAGGGACCCAGGGACCCAGGGACCCAGGGATTTAGGAATCCAGGGACCCAGCAGAAATTCAGAAAAATTCAAAAACCCCACCTTTTCAATTGTTTCCATAACACGTTCAGAAATTTCATTAAAACCAAAAACCAATCTCAACTGATTTTTTGGATTCTCCTCATTTCTCCAAATTTCCAGATCCAGAACTTTCTCGAATTCTGCGAAATTGAAGTTTTTCAAATTTTCCATCGGTATTTGTTCCAAAGAGTTGAGATCCAAAAAAGAGAGAATTTGAGGCAAATACTCAGAAATATGAGTAAAAAATGAAAATTCTTGAGTTTTTAATTTTCCAGTTCTTTGTGGAAGGGTGGATCTGAAAATTGTTAATTTGAAAATTTTGATTTTTTGAAATTTCGAAATTTTTTAAAATCTAGTCGTGTTTAGGCTCATTTTCAAGCTCTTAATCTGCTCAATTCAAAAATTAAATTTTCATAAACCTAGCTCTGAAACTGACAAAGTTAGGGTGTTCGATGCGCGCGGGGGGCTAGTGACGCAGTGTGTCTCGTTTCTCTGCGTCTCTAGCCTCCAAAACTCAAAATTGAACGAATTTTGTTGATTTCGGGCTCATTTTCAAGCTGTTAAAATGAAAAATTCAAAAAGTCTAGTTGTCAGAAGTTATTAGACCAATTTTAAAAGAAATTCTAAAAAATCGAAAATCTGAAATTCGCAAAAATTCTTTTAAAAATTGAATAATCGTAGTGTTTGGGCTCATTTTGAAGCTTCATACCTACAAAATTTGAGTTTTTCATTTTTCAAATCGTATAGAAGGCCGTTTCAAAAATAGTCACGCTAACAAAATTGAACAAGATTGTAGCTTCAAAATGAACCCAAACATATTTTTATCGAAAATTCCGAAAATCGATCATAAATCGATCGGTTCTCATGGAAAATCAAAAGTTACACAATTTTCAAATATAACAATCAAAGCGCTTCAAAATGAGCCTAAACACGACGATTTTTCGAAAAATTTGAAAATTTGAAATTTTTTGAAATTTTGAAATTTTTTGAAATCTAGTCGTGTTTAGGCTCATTTTCAAGCTCCAGACTTACTGAATTCAAAAACTAAAA